CACAGCAATATTATTAGCTGACGCAGCTTCCTTACTACTGCACGCTGCACAGCAGTATATATGCTGCTTGGCACCTATGTCTGACCCTTTTTGATAGCACGCACTGGTATAGAGGTTCGACCCTCACTGTCCGTTGTGGGGCTTAGCCTTATATCTCATCCTTAGATGTCTGAAACGACTTCAATACCACTCAATCCCAGACTCGTACCCAGCCATCTCTGCTACATGGACATGCAAAATCTCGACTAAGTTGTTTTATTAGAATTCAGTTGTAAAGTCACGTTCAAGAACAAAAAGTGTATTACAATACAGAAGTCACATGTGATGGACATAAACACAAGTCCGATCACCTACTCCGGAAACCAACTTGCGACACTTCGCTCCGACGACTGGTGCAAAATGGCAGTGGCAGTACCACTCGGCAATTGCCGAGTTTGACACGACAGAAAGAGATTGCGGACACGTGAAGTTCCCACGAAAACATAAGTCGCACAATGGATCTTTTGGTGTTAACCCATGCGGTCTTGTACCCAACCCAACCCATAGTGCTTGGGGAGCACCTTGAGGGCTGTGAAATTAACACCTGGGCATGGGCGGAAAATCAACCCTTATATATTACATTGCTCCTAAAATACAGTTCATGCTCAGTAGTATAGGTGGCACAGCGTGAGCTAGCAATATAACCTTTTTTGGCTGCATATGTTCGATCCTCACTTGGTACAACTTTTTTGTGTTCTCCTGTGGAATAGTTGTAAAATTTGTGCACACTAAAGAGCAAGGAATGAGAAAAAACAAAGTTTTACCGGCTGATGTTAGAACTTGCGGATTCGGACGACTCTGGAGTGGAATCGGAGACTTAGCATGGAAGGACCTCGGCCTCAGCGACTCAGGTGGAGCGCTGTGCCATTGCTGGTTGTCCTGGGGGTCCTTAATTTCGGATCTAGCAGAGGGAAAGTCTCTTGGGGGAATTCAAGTTGATTTCGGACTGAGGTTACAAGTTACTAGGTACATTGTATATAAGGAGGGGTCCGGAATCAAAAGGAACAAGGGTAGGACAAAAGGAGACAAAGGGAGATGGAAAGAGGAACAACACCGAGGGTCAAGTGTTTGACTCAATGGTGTTTCCCAAAGGAGGAATGAAGGGCCAAGGCCCAAGAAGGAAGGAAGGAGGATGGGAGTCGGGAATGGCTAGCTGACTGAATAGAAAGGAAGCAGCAGCCCAAATAGGAATGAGGGAGAATAGCGGAATTGAAATGGACAATGCAATAGTTGCAAGGTCCGGAGTAAGTCCGGAAAGTCCGAACTCGGAGGTTAAACTCCGGAATATTGGCAAAGGTAATTAAATGGAATGAGCTAACCAATACAATGGGTATAAGCGGAGGTGGGGTCAAAGTCCGAGGTCGGAGCTAAGACCGGAGGTTCCAGAGACGAGACGTGAATGGGATACCGGAGTGGAGGTCCGGAGTCGGGAGCATAGGTTTTGCATACTCGTCTGGAAGGTGTCGAGGTTGGGGTCGGACCCGGAATGTTCCGGAGTCGGACCGAAGGTGGTGTCCGAGCCGGAGGTGGGATAACCTCTTGGGAGTCGGCAAGGAGAAAGTGATGGAAGGGAAGTAGGGCTCCGGAAGTCGGAGTTCGGAGTTCCAGGAGCCCGGAGCAGAGGTCGGGATTGTATGGATATGACAGCTGAGAATCGAACATACACAGCCAAAAAAGGTTATATTGCTAGCTCACGCTGTGCCACCTATACTACTGAGCATGAACTGTATTTTATGAGCAATGTAATATATAAGGGTTGATTTTCCACCCATGCCCAGGTGTTAATTTCACAGCCCTCAAGGTGCTCCCCAAGCACTATGGGTTGGGTTGGGTACAAGACTGCATGGGTTAACACCAAAAGATCCATTGTGTGACTTATGTTTTCGTGGGAACTTCACGTGTCCGCAATCTCTTTCTGTCGTGTCAAACTCGGCAATTGCCGAGTGGTACCGCCACTGCCATTTTGCACCACTCTTGATATTTGTCAAGTTAGCAAAAGTTTGCTTGCACAATTGGTAATCATGTGTGTTGTTCTCATACTCATTTGTATGCAGGTGCCGTTTCTGTTTAATTTTTCGGGATTTATTGTATGCATTGGTGTTTGTATCCTCAATACAGGCTTCCATAATTTATTTCAGATTTTTCCCTCACGATCTAAGGTGTTTTCACATTCTCCAGTTGGTTTCCGGAGTAGGTGATCGGACTTGTGTTTATGTCCGTCACATGTGACTTCTGTATTGTAATACACTTTTTGTTCTTGAACGTGACTTTACAACTGAATTCTAATAAAACAACTTAGTCGAGATTTTGCGCGTCCACGTAGCGGAGACGGCTGGGTACGAGTCTGACCCAATCCCTTCAAGCCACCGCGTCGTATCGTCACTGGCCATACTCCCGATGGGAAGAGCACCACCATTTTCGATGGGGAAGTTTCCAGTGCCCCAACGTTGGCACGAGATTCTGGGTCACTAAAGGATGGCCAACAGATAATTCGGGAGATAAGTGAGTATCTATGCGCTGATCGTTTTCGGAAATTTGTTGACAAATTTCGATCACCTCCCATTCTCAGCAAAGACTTGAGAGATGAAAGTCCGGATCGTGCTGGTATCTTCCAGACTAATGGGACAAATTTTCTTGCCCAGGACGTCCCCCCGGGTGCCGTCGTTCCAATGGTAAGAGCCGAAGTCTCGCTGCACTCCCCGTCGAAACGTTTCTGAACAGCACCGAACGAGTACTCTTGACTATGGTATTCTGAGTAAGTCAGCCACTACGGGTTGGATCTCAACCATCACACAAAAGATTTCCTCCATTGACTCTGGCTTGCTGCAGTATCAGGAGAACTGACGCTGGTTCTTGAGGATGGTCCTCCCCTAACATTGTCTGAACCGGGAACTGTCTTTGTCCAAAGAGGGACCGCACACCAGTGGGAGAATCGTGGTCCTGACTGGGTCAGAGTCATCTTCGTCATCCTCGATGCTAAACCTTTCGCCTACACGAATGCAGATGGAGCGCAGGTGACGCTGGAGGAGTACCACTCGTGGTCGAAAGCCCCTACTTAACGTATATGTAGATCACTCTTTTGTAACACACATCGATACTGCAAATACTTGTTATGTGACGTTCACGAATTCGATCTTGTTCTCATGGTGGCAGGTTAATCCCATCTGTAACTTATATGGACAAGGGCGGTAGGCATGCAGATGCTCCGTTATATTATCAAACACATACCGATATTTTCATGGAGGCCAACGTGATAAGTAGCCTGTGATGCCTCTTGACATCGTATAAATCGTGCCGTCTCCGATGGTTTTCAATTCCTCATACAACAACACCTGACGCAACACCCTGCTGCACGCTGCACGGCACGGCAGAATACCGGTTGACACCTACGCTTTCCAACAGAACGCATTGCACTAGTGATCAGATATTCGTGTTATCGTAGCTCATTGGCTTCGGATCGCTTCCATGGTCTGGTTGAAAACGCGCGCTACCGCTCGTTCTCAGAGCTAGCTGCGTACACGAGTGTATCGTGCAAGCACGATCAACCGACCCGGCCTGTCCGTGCCAACTCCCAGCCCCATCTTGTCTTCAAGATGTCTGAAACGACTTTCGTACCACCCATTCCCTTTGGGCCAACGCGCCGTATCGCGTCATTTTCGATGGCGAAGTTCCCATAGCTTCCAACGCTCGCACAAGGTTCTGGGTCATTAAGGGATGTCCAACAGTTAATTCTGGCGATGCGTAGTTATCCACCAACTGTTGTTCTTGGAAATTCTCAGCAAAGACATGAAAGATGAAATTGCGGATCGTTCTGGTCTTTTCCAGACTAATTCATTATCGGTGATGTTGCCCCAGGCACCGTCATTCCGATGGGCCAAAGTCTCGCTGCTCCCCTAGGATTGACCACCGAACGAGTACTCTGGGCCATGACAATATTCTAAGTGGTTGAATTCCGGCCATATCGCGAAAGTTGACACTGGCGTGCTGCAGTGTCGGGAGAACTAGCGCCGTCCTTGAGGATGGACCTCCCCTAACAATTACTGAACCGGGAACCGTCTTCGTCCAAAGAGGAAGCGCGAACCAGTGGGAGAATCGTGGTTCTGCCTGGTCAGAATCATCCTCGATGCTAGTCGCCTGCACGGATGCCAATGATACAGGTGGCGCTAGATGAGTACATACCGGGAGCGAAATGGTGCTTAAAGCGTGTTTGGGAATTCTTTTGTTATTTGCATCAATTCTACGAATGCCCGTATATTTGCAGTTTACTAACGAATTCTTGTTCTGATGGTGGCAAAATAATCGACCACATGGAACATGGCACCGACAGGCTAATTCCATTCGTAAGTGAAGCCCAAGGCGTTGTGATCAGCTGCTATCGAGAGCTGTACCAAGCAAACAACAAAGAATCGGCAGGGCATCATTATATCAGGTGAACATACCCTATGTAGCAGTGGGATTGGAGTTTAGGTGTGCGCATGAAGCAAGGACATGATTGTAAGGTTCGTTGAGGGCAGTACCCTATCATAGCGGAGATGCAGCCCAATATGCGCAGGTAGACTGGGCCTGGGAGCGCAGTGGGCGATACGCTGAAAAACGAACATAAGTCCACCGTAACTATGGCATGTTCGCAAAAATAGCGGCGGACAAATATACCAGTCGGAGGTTAATATAATGGTTATCGAATGACACGACTTGAGGAAGCGCAAGAATATCAAAGGCACATAGCCCGACAGTCTCCTCACTGTCCACAATTCTGTAAAACACTTCCTGCATGTAGATGTACGCTTTGCGGATTGCCATCCCAGACGAAATTCTCCCCTCTGGAACTGCTGCAGAATGTATTGAGCATAGCGTCCGTGCTGCCATACATATGCATGTATATCTATCAGCACTCGAATCCTAGCAGGCAGGGTATCAACCGCCCGCGCGCGGGCAAGTGGGGCACATCGCATGCAATGGCTTCAGTCATCTACGAGGGTGCTGCATTGCGAACTAACTATATCGGGAACGTTTGGCCCACAAGCCGCACGTACGGCCTTTCGACTGGCGTGGTGTTGGCAGCGTGGGCGAAAGTAGTTCGCGTCCTTTGCCTTTTTCAGTAGACGTGGACGCACGAGCCGTCTGAGTGCCAGTAGCTGAATATATTCGAAGCGAAGGATCTTATTGAGAGCGTCGTCCGGCATCGCTAAGATATCTGATAATGAGAAAGATTTCTCACTGAATCGGGGATATGGGTCAGGGGAGTTCTGAAGGGGCACGGGAATAATGGGGCGTTCTGGGTTATCTTGCCCCGTTGGACGAAGGTCGTCTTCGCTGGCTATCGACATATCTTCCTCTTCGTCTGAGAGGTAGTCTCCGAACGTTCTGTCACTAGAGGTTCCATCCGCGCTGCGGTCATTCGCGCTGCAGGTATTGACGGGGCTAGTCCCCGGAGCTGCAAGTTCTGTGCTCTTAACGACGGGGTCGATCCCCGGAGCTGCAGGTTCTTACTGGATCTATCTCGTGTCCGTCGTTCTCGTTGGCTTCTCTGGCACCTAGCTCGACTTCTAGTGTCGTCGCTAGCGTGTCCTGTTCGTTCTGTATCTCGGGAGAGAGCTCGGCAGCTTCTGCCAACGGGCTCCCGTTGTGCACGGAAAATTCGTTAGTAACTGTTCCCAATGTGTCGACTGAGAGAGATCGGCCACGTCGGCTTACCAAAGGCACGTAGCCACGACCGCTCCTGAGTCTCATCATATTGTTGCAACTAGGAGGTAAAGCTGAGGTGGCCGGCCTTAAGCTGGGAATTCGAGAGAGGGTGTGTTCGGGTTGTTCGATGTAGATCGAGGTTGTTAGGTAGTGAGGGATCTTGAATCGGCAAAGGCCGACGAGATCAGCTAAATAGATCACTGGACCAAAAAGACTCGATTTACTTGGCAGGCAGCATGCGCGCGACGCGTGACCCGTGCTCAATACATACAAAGACGGAGACAAAACTAAGGATAAGAGTAAAATTGACACATAAAAAACAAACACAACACAAAAGCTAATGTACAAAAATAAAAAATAATGGCGAAAAGAAGTTATAGATAATGTAAAATATACAAACAGAAAGGAGTGCCGGGGAGGAGGGAGACAGGGCTGAGTGCTGAGGCAAAGGAAAACCGCGGGCGAAGACCGCGGAAAGGTCTTGGCAGCAGCAAGTCCGGGGGAGGGCAGTGTGTAGGTAGCAGCAGTGGCAGCGGGTTAAAGGAGTAAGCCCGGAAAAAGCAAGCGGCAAGTTGGATCTCACTCACCGAGGGAGCGCGAGATACCAGGCGATGGGCCCTTTTTATAAGCACGGCCTAGGCAATATGAGTCCTCTCCCCAACAGCGAAAGTTCAGTACGTACCTCCACTGAATGGTCCGCTTCGCGCGTCTGCGCCGAAACATTCAGAATACGTCCGAGGCAGCGTCCCTTGACCCATTCAGGCTAAGTTGCGCAAGAAATCACGAGGGATCCGTGATTAGTAAGGGGAGGCATGTGAATGCCAAAGCGGTCCCGACAGGCAACCAGGTTTCACAGCTAGTCGCTCGATTGTCGGCATCGCCCGACTTGAAGAGTTGCTACGTACAAACGCGGCAACAAAACAACAACACAACCTTGCTAAATGCCTTCTAAGAAGCGAAAGATATCTGACCTTGCCGATGATGCAAATGAGCTCTTACTTGCACTCAACGAGTTCCAAACGGCCCTAGACGAAGACGATGAAGACCTTCCATCTGGTCTCATCACTACTTTAGAGGAATTCCGCACGAAGCTTGAAACTGTTAAGGCGTGCACAGATCTATTTGAAACTTGCTGATGCCCGAACAGCACGTTTCTTTCTCTAAAGTTGACTCCTTCGTATTGCCGCAAGTCAACATCAAGTCAGGCCCCCTATTCCTGGTTTCAGAGAAGAAGGCTTTAGCCGAAGAACAGGGATCGACAGAAATTGGGGGCAAGGCACTTTCAATGGAGGTTTTGAAAGAGCTGATAGAGTTGGTTCGAAAGCATGTGTCTGTCGTGGTAAGTAAGATGTACTGTGTTTTTCTATTTAACTCATTGCAGGCATTTGCTAGACTGAGGCCGGGTGCCGAGTTCTGATAAATCTCATATTACTCCGTGTTGCCTCCGCCATGTCTACTGACCAGATGGATGTCAACATCATACCCGAATATCCTATTCCTAAGACCTTGTTTCCTGGCAATCGCTCCTTCGGCGGTGTGGTAGACTTCCTCATCACCAAACTGCCTGGTCGATATACCCGTAGGAAGATACGATGGTCCTTCCGTGCTAAATTTTGACTTCTGTTGTGCAGGTTATTTGCTTGGAAATCCAACGATTGCCCTTGGAAACCCAACCGCGATCAAGGGACCCATGACCTCAAACATATTTGAGGCGAAGCGTGACAACGTGAAAGCAGCCATTCCTCAAGCCATCATGGCCGCTGCATCTCATTGTAAACAACATAGGTGCGAGAAAGTATTCTCATTCCATACTATCCTCACACCATTACTCAGCCTATCAGTACTCAGAGGATGTGTAAGTAGTGGAGAACAGTGGATATTTTTTGTGTACAACGCTGCAAGTGGTGGCGGAGGCTCCGTCTTCTATTCAGAGGAATATGAAATTGGACCACAATACGAGGGCTTACCACTCATCCTCGGTCTCCTCCATGACTGGGTTAGTTTCAATCTAATTCCTTGTATCGATATTTAAAACCTTCCTCCAGGTTGGCAACACCACTAATACTCAGCAAGTTTACTTTACATTTGAGTGACAGGGAATCCTGTGTGCTGTAAACAGATTTCTTGGCAGCGTTCTCAAGCTTACCCACTGAACTATGTTTGTACATAAATAACAATGGGCTCCTGGGCAACTTGGTTGCACCAACACTATCCTACATAGGAATGTGCACTTATTCCCTTGCCATATGATATGTATACTGGCTAATGCAGGCAGTGAGATGAGAAATGGATGGGATGTCGGACATCAAGGTAGAGGAAACAATGAAGAAATCTAACATATAAATAATGGTTTCTGTCTTTGTCAGGGCACACCTGCCCCACCTGGCTCCACCTGGCTCCACCCAGCTCCACTCCACCCGCTACCCCCTTCTCCCCCCTTCCTATTTCCTCCTTCCACTTCCCCCTCTTTCCATTCTTCCTCTGTATCATTCTTTATTCTTTCTATTTCTATTTACACAGACGACTTTCCTTTGATCGATGTACTATTGACCCATCCACAATCCATACATGACACACCCAGCCCTGGGTGCCCTGGCCAACCCCCGGTGCACCCAGCATGCACGCCCACAGCGGATCCCTCCAGGATCCCCCATGGGGATACCCGGATGGCTGGGCTGTGCATGAGGACAACATGGCAACCCCCATGTGACCCAAGTGCCATGTATATAAACATACCTGAGGTGGGAACCAGAGAAGCAGTCTTCTTCTCACCATTCCCACTTCAGGTAAGTAGCTTAGTTCTCCTTCTAATGATAATTCACACCATTCCCACTTCAGGGACACCTGCCTGCACCAGGCCCGTTGCCACACATGCCTGCTTCATACCCCACTGGGCCCTCAGCGCCGGGCAATACACCTGGATGCTCTTGACCCCGGACTGGTCCCTGACAGCAGAAGAAGACTTCAACCTCATTCCCCCCTCACCCCTCCCACCCCCTTGCTATGGTGACACAAGAACAATATGATGACCTGCTGGCCTGGTTCCAGGAACTGTCATATCCATCCATGGCCACCACCCTCGACCACCTCCGCTCCTCTGGATTACTTCCGCTCCTCTGGATTACCTCCGCTCCTCTGGATTACCTCCGCTCCTCTGGATTACCTCCGCTCCTCCACCACTAACCTTGGAGCCTCCAGTTTCTGCAATCACCTCCAACCCCCCTGATGGTCACCACCCCTCCAATTCAATATATTACCTATGCCTCCCTAAGTATGGAGCCCCAAAGCTCTCCGGACAGCTCCGACATCTGCCAGTGCATTCCTGCCTCCACTGGGCAATTCACTTGCTTGCCCTGCAAGTCTACCTTTGGGCCTATCCCTCCTTTCTGCTTGTGGGTCTTAACCCATCATTCCATTAAACCTGCAACCCGACTCGTTGGTAATATTCAGTCGGCTAACATCTATCCCCATTAGCTCTGCTCCGCTCAGTCCCACTATTCACAGGCCTGCCCTCGCTGTAACTATATATACTTAACTTGTACATAGGTTACACTCCAGTGATAAAATCGACTAGAGTTGATCCCCCTTTTAGTTCTTGTTGTCAGTAAGTAAATTAGGGCACGGACATGTAACTTGGCACAGCGCTCCTGGTCTGAGTTGCTGAGGCCGAAGCCCTCTGCCATGGAGACAACTCCTTCGTCTCGCTCAGGTCTCTAACACTAACCTCTGACCTACTCTGCCACCGTTCCGGTTCACCTCTGGTCCATCCTCCCCCCACACCTCTGCCATACCCTCCGGTATACCTCCGGTCCACCTCCACCTCTGATCTCCAGTACCTTCTCCAGTACCTCTTATCCTCACCCTAAACGTTTAATAATATTTCTACCTACCCAATATTACTATGGACCTCCTAGGACCTCTGCCAACCCCGCAAAGGTTTTCCCACTTCCCAATAGCTGTCGCTAATTCCACCCTTCACCTACCCACTCCACAATGCTTGATAAGGTGATTCTCTCACGAGCTCGCTGACCCGGCAAGTGGGTAAGTCCCTCTTGGGTTTCCCCTTTGTTCCCATTTGTCTCTTATTATGTATATAAGTCCTTACTGTAGTTGATGGCACCTTAGTGCAAAATTGACAAACAACTATCCCCCAGAGTTTGCGCCCCTCATTCTGAAGTTAAGGACCAGACCCTTAAGCGTTACTGAACGTAGGCACAGTGCTCCTCTCCGAGTCACTGAGGCCATGGTCCTCCTGCCTGTTCTCTACCTCTGGCCTCCCTTCTGGGGAAAGGTCCAGGAACACTGCCCCTCCTCACTGTGTCCTGACACTCTGTATCATTCTTTATTCTTTCTATTTCTATTTACATGGATGACTTTCCTTTGATCGATGTACTATTGACCCGTCCACAATCCATGCATGCACACCCAGCCCCAGGTGCTCCAGATGACCCCCGGTGCATCCAGCACGTGTGCCTGCAGTGGATCTCTTTGGGATCCCCACAGGGATACCTGGATGGCTGGGGCTGTGCATGAGGATGGCGTGGCAACCCCCATGTGACCCAAGCGCCATGTATATAAACATACCTGAGGTGGGAACCAGAGAAGCAGTCTTCTTCTCACCATTCCTACTTCAGGTAAGTAGTTTAGTTCTCCTTCTAATGATAATTCACACTGTTCCCACTTCAGGGACACCTGCCTGCACCGGGCCCTCAGTGCTGGGCGATACACCTGGACACTCTCGACCCGGACCAGTCTCATGCTGACTACAGATCGGCCTTTTCCCTGTTGTAACCTCTGGCATCTGCTGTCTCAACCTCAGTCTGAACCAATTCTCAGTTCTCCTATTTTTATATACTATGTAATTATTGATCACTGTCATTGCAGCAAAAAAAATGAAATGCCCTTCATTCTGAGCTGAACTGAATTGGCTGGAGCCAGAAATGCAATCATCCTTCAAACTGTCACAGAGTATGAGCCAACCTGTTATTGCGTTTGCAATTTTAGGACCTTCAGTTCCACTTGGAAACCCCTTGATATCGGCTGCCTCCACATGTGGGATATGTAATTATTAGCGCCCTTCTCCTTTTAGCTGAACTGGGTTCCTGTTTCCACTCTAAAGTGTCAAGTTCATAAAGAAAACGAAGGCAGTTAGTGTTTATTTCTTTGCTAAAGCATTGACCCATTGATCTATTTCCGTAGCAACCAACTTTGAGGGACAGAATGATCTATCAACTCCAACAAAGTCCGACATCTACATACAAATACCACCTCATACTAGAAGCTGAGGATGATAAACTCACCACCACTGCACCTCCATTCACCCGTTGTCTAGGATATCCTGGAGAGCATGCTGATATGGAAAAGGCTCAGATTGATGAGTGCGGCCTCTGCCCATCTCAGAAAGGCATACACAAGGACTACCCTGTATACTGGCTAATGCAGGCAGTGAGATGAGAAATGGATGGGATGTCAGACATCAAGGTAGAGGAAACAATGAAGAAATTGGAATTAAATAAATGAGAATGCCAACCTTGATGCTATGTGGTGTGGGAATGTTGTTGGACATCAGCAAAATATTGTTATGCTCCTGAGTGCTCTGGAGTATGGAGAGTGTCATATCCATCCCCGGCCATCGACTTCCGGTTCCTCCGATCCCTCCAGTCTAACTCCGCTCCTCCCTCACTAACCTCGGAGCCCCCGTATTCCGCAATCCTCTCGGTACCCCTCGATGGTCACCACCCCCTCATTTCAATTTATTACCTACGCCTCCCTAAGTACGGAGCCCCGAGGACTTCCGGACAGCTCCGACGTCCGCTAGCGCACCCCCGCCTCTGCTGGGCAATACACTCGCCTGCCCTGCAGAGCCCACCTTCGGGCCTATCCCTCCTTTCCGTTTCTGGGTTATTGCCTGCCTTTCCGCTAACCCCGCGAACTGACTCGTCGGTAATATTCAGTTGGCTAATGTTTAAACCCCGTTAGCTCTGCTCTGTTCGGCTCCACCAATTGCGGAACCGTCTCCACTGTAACCATATATATATCCCACTTGTACATAGGTTACACCCCAGTAGTAAAATCAACTAGAGTTACCCCCCTAGGTTCTAATTGCCAGTCAGTAAGTTAGGGCACGGATGTGTCACTAGGCACAGCGCTCTTGGCAGAAGTCGCTGAGGCCGAAGCCCTCCGCTACGGAGACATTCCTTCGTCTCGAATCTGGTCTCTGACAGAGAGCACTGGGAGAATCAGGAGGAGATTGGCCAGTCCAGGAACAGCTCATTTCCTCTGGAGTTGGCCAGATACTCCAGGGCACTCCCAGGAGGGCATGGAGCATTGCTTTGTGCACTGTCAGGGACGCGTCCGGGGTAGAGGAGGCCCGGGTGAGATGCCCGACACTAGAAGCCTCGCGGGTGTGGAGCGGGCGTGCGTACTGGCGGGCCCGGCTCAGGAGGCAGTCCCTGGCCACTTAGACTGAAGTGGAAAAGGGTGAGAAGAAGGCTACTTCTTCGGTTCCCACTTCAGGTATGTTTATATACATGCGGCTTAGGTCACATGACGGGTGCCACGTCATCCTCGCATACAGCCGTAGTCACCTGGTGTCCCCGTGGGGGATCCCGAGGGCGTCCGCTGTGGCGCGCGAGCTGGACATAGCGGGGGTCGCCCGAGGCGCCCGGGCTGGGCGTGTCGTGAGCGTGCTGCAGGTGGGTCAATGGTACATTGATACAAGGAAAGGTCGTCCGTGTAGAATAAAGAGAAAATAAAGAGAAGGTGAGACAAGTAAAGAGAGAGTGGAATGGAGAAGAAAGAAAGAAGAAGGGGGGAGGAGGTAGGGGAGGACTGGGTGGCAGGGTACCGGGTGAAGTGGGCTGGGGGGCCGGGTCAGGCGGGTGTGCCCTGACATCACCCCCTCCTTAAGCCGCTTCGCCTCGAGCGGCCAGGTGGTTCTCCCTCTCTCTTCCGGGGCCTGGGGGTGCGTCCTGTGGAATTCCTCGATCCGGTCGGGGCGTGGACTAAGTGGTCCGCTGGAGCCATTGGTTCTCTGAGGTTGGCCAGCCAGCGAACTTCACTAGATACCAGAGTTTCCGGCGTAGCCACTTAGAGTCTAGTACTTTCTCGACTTCATATTCTTCGTCTCCATCTACGAGCTCTGGGCCAGGCATGGGTCGGTGGGTCATTCCCTGATGTCGTCCAGGTGGTATGGTCTGACGTTTGTCACGGATACGACCGGGTGAACTCCTTTCTGTCGTG